GTGACGTCACATTGGGACTTCCACCCATAAGTGATAACTTCCATGTAACATCCCAGAATCTCACTCCCCAAACTTCTGTGAATTCTTTCCCTGAGCAAGAATTTGGGGTTCTCCTCTGAGTCTGCCATCATAACCATCAGCTCTTACTGGTCACATTCCTCTGGTGGGTGGGGCCTGTGCTCACCTCTTAGAAGGTCATTTATCTTCCATAGACTGGTTTTCAGAAGAGGAAGCTTTCCCCAGCTTGCTCTCCTCCCTGATGCCTTGGTTGCTTTCTTCCCCCGCCCCCCACTACCTCTCCTAATACTGGGCTTGTCATTTGGTCACTGCAACCTTGGAGGTCAAGCCCTTTCCTACTGCTGCTAAATCCAGTCGCCACAGAACTGGCTCTTTTTCCAGGTCCAAGAAGTGAACAACGTCACTGAGTTGCAGTTCCTTCACGGTCCTGCCAGGGCACACCTGACCTGTGTAACTGTGAAAAGGCTTCTTGCCAACGTGGTGGCTTCGAGCATAGCATTCGGGAGTCTTCCTTCTGTCATAGGGTTCTGGGATCTCTTCCAAGCATGAAGGTGAAGGACGTTAGGGAAATCAGACCACGATTCCTGATTTTGCACACATCCAAGGGAGAATTCCTGGGGTTGGTTATTGGCACCATCTCTCCACCTTGCCCTTTTGTTCTCTAACCCTTCCTTCCTAATCCAGCCAGCTCAGGGAAGAAGCAGATAGGTTTTCCCAGGGTGAGCCTAGGAGGGGGCCCTTCCATCTTCTGTACAGTAGCAAGATTGTGATTCTCTTCTCGCACCTGCTGTCTGCTTCTTGGGTTCTGCTGGCCATTGAGTCCGTGATACACACACACACACACACACACACACACACACACACGACACCTGCTTTGCCTGCCCTGCAACCTGAGCAGATGTAAGCAATGAGTTACTCTCTGCTTTCCCAGGAAATGTGGATACAGCCTCAGCAACCAGCCAGAGGACCCGCTGATTAAAACTGATGTCCTTTGATAACAGATATTTATGAACTGAAGTTGGGAGGCTAAGGCAGGAGGATCACAAGTTCAAAACCAACCTCAGATTCTTATCTGTCTTTCTGCCCTGGGCTCTCTTGCCATGGGACACCCGGCATTGAAGAAGCAGCAGTCAGAACTCATCGGGAGATTGCGTTTCCTCTGTCCGCCAGATTGTGGAGGCTAAAGGAAGCCAGCCTCTTAGGCCAAACAAAGACAGGTCTCTCTGGCCTCCTTTTGCAGGCCCATGTCCCTTGTCAATTAGAGCCCTCTGCTCATGTTACAGGGGCCCAGCAAGAGTCCTTCTTATTCTTTTTTCTGATCCCACCTTCGGACAAGAAAGAGAACAAATATTTAAATTCCAAGGATAAGTGCTCTCTCTGTGTATTTCTAACAGAAACCAGATGCTAAGGGCTAGATCCTTCTATGGCCCAGGAAAGTGGAAGGTGGAGCCAGTTATCTGGATATTTCATGCAAGAACAGTTGCTGCTAGCCACTGTCCGGCACCTTCAGGAAGGCTTCAGGATGGAGCCTGCAGACATGTGTCCTAAGTCCCCCCTGCTGATTTTGATGGCATTGGCAGGTAGCTCCATTTGAGGTGCATTTCTTTAAGCACAAGAGAAGTGGAAGTAGAAAGATCCTTGGCCTCATGTCCAGTGGGTGGGATCCTCTGGGGCCTCAGCAGCCACCAGAGTGACCAGGTGTCCACCTGGAAGTCCTCATCAAAGTTAAAATCCCCAAAGGATGGGATTCTTTTCCCCTTCTTCCAACCGAGTAGCCCGTTGACCACCCTCATAAATCGCGACACACCGTTGGGAGATAGACCGTTCTACAAGCTCACTTCCTGCTGACCAAACTGGCTTTCTTTAAGAGAATAAAAAGCAGGAGGGGAAAGTCACATCGTGTTAGGAGACATTTCTGTGATTTAGATATGATGAATCCCTTGGGTGGGGGTGGGGGGAAGAATTGTCTTGCTCTATCCTGAGAGTTTTCTGAGACATCCCTTTACCTGACTAGACCTTTGGCCACGCCTGTTCAACAGGTTACTGATCAAGCTTTTCTGAAATTTTCAGAGAGACTCCGTGACTTACAAGAAAGTCTGTGCTCAAGCCTATCTAACCTGATTTCCATATTTTTCCATTAAATATTCTGATTCTCTCACGGACCCTGACTTCACATTCTGAAGTTGGGAGGCTGAGGCAGGAGGATCGCAAATTCAAAGCCAACCTCAGCAACTCAGCGAGGCCCTCAGCAACTCAGTGAGGCCCTGTCTCTAAATAAAATATAAAAAAGGGGCTGGGGATGGGGCTCAGTGGTTAAGTGCCCCTGGGTTCAATCCCCAGTAACAAACAAAACCATGAGGCCATGAGTCCTCCATTTTCTCTAGTAAATCAGGACTTGGTCAGGATTTCCTTGCCTACACTCATCTCTTCCTGCACAGGATGGCTCTGCCCATCTCCTGCTTTCATTTCCCACGCGTAAACAAAACCTCCCAGGGCCTGAGGAGGTGAGGCAGGCCAGAGTCTGTTATGTGTCGAGCGTCACACTGTTTGTCAAGAAGGTCCACCAGGGGCCTTGGGTGTGGGCTCTGCCAGAGACTGTTCTGAACACTTTGCTCGAGATCCGTGCCCTGTACCATGGATATGATGTTTTACTGATGTCTGTAATACATTTGTAAACTTCCAATAAAATTTGAATAAAAGAAGTGTCGCCCTCTTTCTCGATTCTTCCTCACTCGGCAGATGTTTCAAGTGGTCTTGGCTTTTGAGCATCTCAATAAAAAGAGAAAGGCCACATGTGTTAGCAGGAGACTTACTATGAAAGATGGACCTGATTGTTTAAATTTGAGGGTTTTTTTTTTGCGGGGGGGGGGGGGGGGGGTACCAGGGATTGAACTCAGGGCGTTCAACCACTGAGCCCCCTCCCCAGCCCTATTTTGTATTTTATTTAGAGACAGGGTCTCACTGAGTTGCTGAGGGCCTTGCTTTTGCTGAGGCTGGCTTGGAACTCAATCCTCCTGTCTCAGCCTCCCAGGCTGCTGGGATGATAGGCGAGAACCACTGCRCCTGGCTTAAATCCTAGTTTCTCAGTCTTGGCACCATCTGCATTTGGGGAACTTCATTCTGGGTTGCAGAGGCTTGTCCTGTGTGTCATAGATTGAAGAGTGCTAACATCATCAGCCTCTGCCCACTACATGCCAGGAGCACCTCCACTCTAGTTATGCCAAGTAAAAATTCCTCCACACATCACACCCATGAAGACGGCTACTATGAATGGAAAAGAAAAAGAAAATAACAAATGTTAGCTGGGTGGAGTAGCATACTCCTGTAATCCTAGTAGCTCGGGAGGCTGAGGCAGGAGGATGGCAAGTTCAAAGCCAGCCTCAGCCAAGGCGAAGCCCTAAGCAACTCAGTGAGACCCTGTCCCTAAATAAAATACAAAATAGGGCTGGGGATGGGGCTCAGTGGTTGAGTGCCCCTGGGTTTAATCCCCAGTACCAAAAAAAAAAAAAAAACAAAAAAACAGATGTTGGTGAGGATATAGAGCAAATGGAACACGTGTGCACTGTTGGTAAGAATGTAAGATGGCGCACCACTGTGGAAAACAGTATGCAGTTCCCCCACCCCCCAATTAAAGATAGAACAACCGTGTGACCCAGCAATTCTGCTTCTGGATATACACCCAAAAGAATTGAAAGCAGTCTCAGAGATATTTGTGCATTTGTGTCCAGAGAAGTGTTATTTATAATAGCAAAAAGGTAGACGCAACTCAGATAGATGTATACCAGTGGATGAACGGTAACCACGGCGGGGTGAATACACACACGCAGTGGAATAGTATCCAACCTTGAGAAGGAAGGGAATTGTGGCACCTGCTGCAATGTGGATGTACCTTGAGGACATGATGGCTCAGTGGGACAACCAGTCCCAAAAGACACCTACCGTATGACTCCACTTAAATGAGGTCTCTAGAGCTACGGTCCTAGAGGCAATAAGTCAAAGGGTAGCCATCATCAGGGCTGAGGGGAGAGAACACTGAACAATTATTGTTTATTGAGCAAGAGTTTTCAGTCTGGGTTGGTGGGTTGGTTGGTTTTGGTTTGGGCCAAACATTTTATTTCGGATTCTGTGGTTTAACACACACTTCAATGGTCTTATCAGGGGAGGAGAAAGGGAAGTTCCTGTAGATTCCCAAGGAAAAGTCAGAAAGGCAAAATATGGCCAGCATTCTCCATTGGGTTTGGGGTTTTTTTTCGGGGGGGGGGGGATTGATGGATCCACTTTCCTTACACAGATATCTGAGCCGGGTTTGGCACACTGAGAACACTGAGATTTCAGCCTGGAGACACCCTGCAGTCCCGAGCCACCCTCAGAGCTGGCTTCTTTGCGTAGGTGGAAGGACCCATCTCTCAGCGGAGAGCAGTGGACATCTAGTGGCTGGATGTCTGTGGGGGATCTTAGAATTGCTTGCCTCATTGACTGGGAAGAACTGGATAGGAAGTGGCCTTTAGGGACACTCATTTGGAAAATTACAACACGAGAACAACCAGTCTCGGACATTTGGCATTTGATGGTCGAAAGCAACTCAAGATCACATGAAATGAAACATGTCTGACTTTGGTTCCTCCCCAAGAACTTAAAAAATGATGAAGGGGAACTTAATAGGAAATGTATAAAAGGTCACACCATTTTTTTTTCCTTTTGGTCATCTGTGGGGAGTTATAGGACAGAATGGTTTCCACTTTTTGTTTGTTTCTTTGAATGGGGAATTTGGGGTCCCAAGTTTGGTTTGTTTCTAGGATCTGCTCTGCCTCCCCGTCCGTCGATCGGATCGGTTCCTCCAGGGCCACCACCAGGGGACCTCAAGTGCTCCTGACTTGAACTTCTGTAGGAATCACGTGGAGGGGCCACCCCGTCCCATAGAAGGGGGCAGCCCTCTTCTTGTCTGCCAACCTGATCACTCAGGCTGCCACYATATCTGTCACTTACCTGCTGCAGTCACCATAGCGAGTGCTTCCACCGTAAGATGGCGGGGCCTCATGTAGTGGGGGCTGTACGTGAGTTCCCATGACTCTTGTGTGACTCTCTGGAGGAGCCTCCACTTGGATGATCTGAATGATACCATCCCAGCCACGTCCACCTCTATCACTGCAGCCTCATGATGGACGGTCATCACGTGAACCGGGGTGACCCTCCTCGGGGTGGGTAGAGTCTTTTGGAGGTGATGCAGAATCTCCTGTGTCACGAGAACTGAAGTCACCTCTGCCTGATCAGCTGTCTCTAGTGCGATATCCATCATCCCTCGGGGACAAATAAACTCTAGGTCAGGGCAGGGGGTCCCTTGGAGGTGGGCCCCCATTCCTCTCTCCCCCACGTGATACAGCAGCCCTTCCTCCTCTTCCCCTGCGGCCGTGAGCTGATCCTGAAGGGGCTGACCTTCCAGCAGGAGGAGGACCCCACTTCTTGGTGGTGGCCCTCTTTTTACCAGAAGAGGTCCCCTGGAAGGACTTGCATCGTCCCTGTGCCCTCCCTGGGAAGGGGTCCCCTAGGTCCTCTGCTTCCTCTTCTTCCTCCTCTGAGAACCCTGGGAGGGCCTCTGCTTCCCGGAGGCCGAGGTGGGCCACGTCTACCCCTTTCACATGATGACTTGGTGGCTTGTTCCACCTTGATGGCTCTTACATCAAAGGACTTTCCATTCCTGCCTCTGGCTGCACCCTCTCCACACCTGCTGGACTTTCAAAGGTGACAAAAGCAAATCCTCTTGATTGGTTGGTTTCACGGTCTTTGGTCAAGAGCGGTTCCACTCTCCGTCCACACTTGCCACATCCTCCTTCAAGGGCTTTCTCATCTGTTTCTATATTAAGCCCCCCCATGAAGAGCTTCCCTGGGCTGGCTGCGCCACCCCACCGTTTCTCCCCCTGGTGTGTCGGACGGGAGGTGACAGTCTCAAGCTCACCCAGAGGGCCTTCCAAGCAGCTCAGCATGAATGGCAGCTGCTGGATCCGGACCAGAACAGAGAAGCTGCTGGGGCTGTTGTGCAATGATYGAGTTTCCGTTTTTTTTGCAAAACAAAAAGTTTTGGAGAACGGTTGCAGAGTGATGTCGAATTAACTTATTACTGAACTGTACGCTCAAATGGTAAAGATGGTAAATTGTTACATGATGTTTGTTTTTACTCAATTTTTCTTTTTTTTTTNATTTAGAGACAGGGTCTCACTGAGTTGCTCAGCACCTCGCTTTTGCTGAGGCTGGCTTTGAACTCACGATCCTCCTGCCTCAGCCTCCTGAGCCCCTGGGATAGGGGCGCTACCACCCTGCCCGGCAGGTGCATTCTTAATACACAGCAGATGTCTCCAAATGTCTCCCGGCTGCTGCTGCCATCAATATCCTGCATATGGATGCCAACCTGACCCCCAAAGTCTCTCTCTCTCTCTCTCTCCTACTCTCAGCTTCTCACTCCCAGAGCGCAGGCTTTTTCTGTCACTCCTTTGTCCCCGGCTCTTTATTATGCAAATAAAACTCAACACTCCTGTTTTATCTTGGGCCTCCACAGGGCTCCATCCGCAGACTTCCTCAGGATTTATTGTTTCAGATGCTGAAGGAGCTTCTTCCCTCCCAACCTCTGGGACCAAAAGACCTGACAAGAACAACTTTAAAGGAGAGAAAGTTCATTTGGGACTCATGGCTTCAGAGGTCTCAGTCTATGGCCACGGGACTCCGTGGCTCTGGGCCCAGGTGAGGCCGAACCTCGTGGCTGGAGGGCCTGACCCGGGAAAGCAGCTCAGGTCACACGGGACAGGGAAGCAYAGAGARYTCTGCTCACCAGGGACAAAAAGGCACAGCTCCAGTGAGCCACCTCCTCCAGCCACACCCTACCTACTAGGTCACCCCTCAGTTAACCCATCTAGGGGTCACTGCACTGATTAGGTTAAAGCTCTCACAATCTGGCCATTTCCCCTCTCAATTTCCTTGCTTGGTCTAAAACATGAGTTTTGGGGGACACCACAGATCCAAAGCACAACAGAGGTCTCCTTCCCCTGACTCCTAACCTGTGTGAATGGCCCCTGGCTGCTGTCCACGTGGCAGGTAAGACTATAGCCAGTCACCTCTGCGACCCTTTCACACAGACTGTAACCGCTGGGAAGAATTGTGTGATGTCACATGATAAATAAATAACAGGAAAAAGTCCATCTGGGTGGACCGTCCTGTTGGTCACCAAAGTGTCCCTGGATCTTTAGAGTACTTCATGTTCTAGTCCCTTAAAATGCTGACATTCCTACCTTTCCCTTTCTATTTGTCTTTTCCTGGCTGACTCGTTCTTATTCTCCACATCTCAGCTTAGACGCCCTTCCAACAGGATCAGAAGTCTAGTCCAGCAAGTTGGAAATGGGTACCCCTGCCCTGGGTTCTCGTGGGACTTAGGTTCTCCCCTCCTCTATAGCTATCTTACAATTGTGAGTTTTCACCAGACATGGTGACACACGCCTGTGATCCCAGGGGTTTGGGAGGCTGAGGCAGGAGGATCTCGAGTTCAAAGCCAGCCTCAGCAACAGTGAGGCACTAAGCAACTCAGTGAGACTCTGTCTCTAATAAAATACAAAAAAGGACTGGGGATGTGCCCCAGTGGTTAAGCGCCCCTGAGTTCAATCCCTGATACTAAAAATAAAAAAATAAAAAACTTTTGGTTCAGCAAACTCAAAGGAGGAACATGGGAGTTGGGGATGTAGCTCAGTTGGGAGAGAGCTTGCCTTGCATGCACAAAACCCTGGTTCAATCCCCAGCACCACCACCACAACAACAAAAAACGGAGGAGGGAATATGGGTTCAGCCTTCCACACCTGTGAGTGTGCGTCCCCATCTGACAACCAGAGGATCCACGTTCCAGCGGCCCTTTTTCCACTGAATCCCAAGGTGCTGCAAGGTGGAATTTTCCCAGAGCTCCCCATTAATGGCTGCATCTGAGAGCAGGTTTGCATTGCTGAATTTCCCCCAAATTGGTTTTCTTAAAAAAAATAGAGTCTAACTAGGCAGCCGTGTTTTCCAATTTAAAAGAGTCATTGTGACCTTGGACTCCCTAATGAAGCTACCAACATTTCAAGTACTATCAACTATAAAGACAGAGAAAAAAGTCAAGAGTTCCTGCCACCGAATTATAATCAGATGATTTATAATATAATGAAAGCACCGCGGCTAGGAAGGGAAGACTCAGAATAACCAAATCCACATGGATGGGGAAGAGGCCACCGACCAATGAACTTCACATTAACAAATGGAATACATTATCATATTTCAACATACTTCTTTCATGGGTCTAGTGCTAATTGCAATGCCATTGTTTATTGGAAAATGTGCCTAGGCAAGCAGGGACAGAATCAGGGCAGCCTTGGTGGGTGACAGGAATCGGCTCTGAGTTAGAAGTAAATAGAATGCTAGCACACTTCATTTCAGGAAAACCCAAATGTCAGGAAGGAAACACACTCACAAAGAAAGGAGCCACTCTTTCTATCCAGTAACAAAAAGCAGTTCTAGCAAAAGCAAATGTTATTCTAATAGTTCAGATTCAATCAGCTGAGCGTTCACTGTGGACAGGAATCCAGGAAACAAAGGTTGGCAAAGACAAACATTTGAAAACCAAGTGATGCTCCTGCCCACAACATTTTGGGGTTATTAAAATCAACCTAGGGACTGGGGTCGTGGCTCAGTGGTAGAGCGCTTGCCTAGCGTGGGTGAGGCACGGGGTTCGATCCTCAGCACCGCATATCAATAAATAAACAAAACATCCATCAACGGCTAAAATATGTTTTTTAAAAAATCAATCTACTTGTCCTGCAGTCTAGAACGTTCTTTTCTCTCCTTGCCGAGGTGGAAAAACAAATCCTGTAAGACTGTCCTAGGGAAGAGATAAAAGAACTATGGGTATCCACCCAAGTTAATAGCAAATTTCACTGACCTAGAAAGAAGAGGAAGTAACTATATTCCTCTCATTTCAAAGACAGCCTCAGATAAAGAGCCCAGAAAAGTCATTGACCCACTTATCTGCAAATTCTGTTCTCTAAATCTCATCCATCCACTCTCAAGGTGGTTTCTCAGTTTTACAGAACAGTGATTCAGGAGAACTGGGTGGAAGGAACAGGCATGGCTAAGATGTTCACTGCTCCCCAATATCCGTGGGCTCTCACCCGATTCCCAGCCCTTTTGCAGTCGGGTGTGGTCAGATGACTGGGAGAATAAGGTGGCCTCTGCCTGCAATCTCGTATCCCAAGCCGTGGTGATCTGGATGCCATGTGTGGAGCCATGGGGTAGAGACAGGTTAGATCCCTGAGTCACTGTGTGTAAGAGGCCAGTCACCATAAGCCTTCCTTAAGGAAAAGACAGACCTTCATTGTGCTCACCTGACGACATTTCAGGGTTCATTTTTCACCACAACGTCACCCAAGCTATTGTGACGAGTGCATGGGAGCCAGGCTCCAATGTTTCTCTCCAAACTATGGAATCTGGTCAGGTGTGTGATCTGATGACCACGAGAAGTTCTAAGGGCCAAGGGGGACCAAGGCTTTGGATGTAAAGTTTTTGTCGGTTGATTCAGTTGGTTGCTTGGGTTTGTTTAAAATGTTCAGTCCAGACTGCAGCCATGACAGTGGCCCAGGAGGACACTAGCCTGTGAACTGCAGGCTGCAGTAGGGTGCACACCCGGGTTGCTTCCCACTGTCGTCACGTGGGCTAAGTCCAGTGCCCGCCCAGAGTAAGTGCTCAGAAAACATCTGCTGAATCAAAGGCATAAGGGAACTTATAAAGGGATCAAATGACCCCTGCAGAGGTTATGGAGACTGCGTGGAGTCCTTAGCCCCTCTAGTCCTTGCCCCTCATGAAGGACAGGGGACGACTTCCCAGAGATGCAATGGCAGGTGGTGCAAGGAAACCCCAGAGCTGAATGCACTGGACAGCACGGCTCATCCCTCTGACATTGTTGAGCACCTCCTGAGCGCCCTATTCTAAGGAACGCCTTCACCATAAAACAATGAGTCACACAGAGGTTCTGTCTTCCTGCAGCTCTGCCTAGCTTTTCTCATGTCTTTTTTTTTTTTTTTTTTTTTTTTACAGCCAGAGTCTGGCTAACCACAAGAGATTTTATTCCAGTTATCTACTTAGCTGGTGTAAAAATTGAGGCCTGGGGAAGGTCCAAGTGTCCCAGTAATGTTTGCACCCAACAAATTCCACTTCTTGGAGGCCTTGATTTCCCCTTCTGCCGCGTCTCCTTAGAGATTCCCAACTCCCTACTTCTTGTTTGAGCTGAACATCTGGCTCCTAGCCTCTTCCCGAGCCTAACCTCATTCTGGTTTTTGTTTTTGTTTTTGTTTTGGTTTTGGTACTGGGGATTGAACGCAGGGGTGCTTCRGCACTGAACCATATCCCCAGCCCTTTTAAAAACTGTATCTAGAAACAAGGCCTCACTAAGTTGCTGAGGCTGGCTTTCAACTTGTGATCCTCCTGCCTCAGCCTCCTGAGCTGCTAACCTCATTCAGAAAAGGTGCTTCCTAGCCAGGCATGGTGGTGCCCTCCTGCAATCTCAAAGGCTCTGGAGGCTGAGACATGAGGATTGTGAGTTAAAAACCAGCCTCAGCAACTTGTTGAGACCCTGAGCAGCTCAGTAAGACCCTGAATAAAATAAATAGATGCAAAACCTGGGCTGAGGATGTGGCTCAGTGATTTGAGTGCGCCTGGGTTTAATCCCTGGGAGGGAAGGAAGGAAGGAAGGAAGGAAGGGAGGGAGGGAGGGAGGAAGGAAGGAAGGAAGGAAGGAAGGAAGGAAGGAAGGAAGGAAGGAAGGAAGGAAGGAAGGAAGAAAGGGCAGGTGCTTCCTTGGGTCAACTCCTGGCCTGCCGGTCCCACTCTGTGCTAACCATCCTCCGCCCAGCCA